AAATGTATAATAATATTTATTTATCTGAGATCTTATTCACTAAGGATTTTTATTACTAGAAGAATATGATATATTCAGGTCTATTAATTATTATTAAATAAATATTTTTATAATGATATCCTGCTTTCCATAACTAACAGAAGAAATATTATTTTGAAAATATATATAAAAAAATAGAATTATTACTTTATAAAAAATATTATTATTAGTATCCTGTAAGAAAGGATTATTTTTTTTTAATATCTTGTTTAATAAAGCTCCGAATTGATCCAAAATTTATAATATAATAATATGTTATATTATTTTATAAACTAGATTAGTAAATCTAATCTCTAGTATATATTTATAATTATTTATAAAATATTCAAATATCTTTACATGTACGCCTGTGTGTCGTGTATATAAAAACAAAATATATTAAATTAATTAATTTTTCATTTTATATAAATATCTAATTAATTCTAAAATTCTGATAAAGAAATAGGTTAAAATAATAATATTTATAATTTATATTTATATCAGAATAAAATTTTATATTTAACATATATTATATGTCACGGTGCTAGCCGTGGAGTACTGCCCGGACTGACCACCCGGGCACATGACCTGAAGAGACACAAAACTCGCCAGCCTCCCAGACCCTGTTCATAGCTTTAAACTATATCTTATCTATCTTCTTATATATAACCTGACTATAATTAGCCAGCTAGTCTCCCGCCTGTTCTTATTTTCTATTTAAGCTATTTTTCTATTATCTCTATCAGCCTGTATCTTGATATTATATAGCTCTACTTTTTAGAATAGATAGCTAATCAGATACCTATTATCCTGTAATCTTTAATTAGTTTTAATAGACTTAAAGAATTCACATAATATATTACAGAGAATCTTAAAAAATAGTATAACTACTATAATCAAATTTTAGCCTTTATAATAAAAATAGATAATAGCTACTCCCAGTTTCAGCAAGATCTCACTATAAAAGATACTGTAATAATCTATTAAATCTAATAAATTATAAATATTAACTACTAGCTTATCAAGGCGCTCATTACCAAGGAAATTATTATTAAAAAAAGAAATTAAATATTAGAAAAATATATTAGAATTATCTAAGCTACTATACCTACAGTTAACACCCCTGATTAGATACTTAAATCTATTATTAAAAATATAACAGCTGCTCTGATAAAAATAATTTTATTAATTAATCCTGATTCTTCTATTTCTATCTCTCTTTTTAAGTATATTTCTAACTCTAACAAGTTTAAAAGTAACTGTGCTAATCTTATCTAATTTATCTTCTAGATCTAAGAAAAAATATTTATTAACTATAATTATTATCTAATCCTGCAAGTCTGTATGTCCTATATTACAAGCTATCTAGAAAGAATACTATATAACTAGATCTAGTCTTATATTAAAAATAGAATTTATATTCTAGCAGATTATACAGAGATTCTAAAACTTTTATAATATATCTTTAGAAATCTTGATTATACTTATAATACCTGACTAGAATTATACTGCCTGAAACAGGATAACCAGGAATTTAATATTTATTTTATTAAATTCTAGTACCTGATTTAAGAAGCCAGAATATATCCGGATATATTACTCTTAATATTAAAAAAAGATATTAATTATAAGCTAAAAACTATACTTCTAAATAACATCTTATTTAAAAAAAATTATTATATCTTAATCTACTTCCTCCAGTTCCTGGATAGCAGGAGACTGCAGTATATTCTAGATTTTTATAATAAATTCTAAAAACTACTTATTAGATTAATTAATCTTATCTTTCTTAAGAAAATTCTGTAAAAGTCTTTTACAGATCCTGCTAATAAGAAACTCTCTACTCTAGATTATAATCTTATAAATCTTTTTATTTTCTATTATTTATTATCCCAGCCCAAGTCTATTTAAAGAAAAAGAGAAAAATACTTTTATTATAGCTCTAGCCAGTACCTGATCTAAGATTATCTTAAATCTAATATTTATATCTAGTATACCGGCTACTCTGTATATCTGATCTTATTATTAAAAATATATTTATTATCTTGTTATTATTTCTTATTTACAGTCCTAGTCTCAGCCTGCTTCCTGACTTTTCCAGTATTTTAATTTATTAAAATATTATATTTAGAATATCTATACTCTCCAGATCTAAGTAAGTAATTAAAAAAAGTTTATCTAGTCTAAGTTATTACTAGACTATACTTTCAGTATAAATTTATACTTTTTCTGAAACTATTACTAGAAGATTCTTAATCAAAGAGAAATTTTAAAAAATTAATTTAATAATAATTTTTATTATACTGAACCCTGAAAGAGAACAGATCTTTATTTATATTATATTTAATACTAGCTGTGCTATATCTTATATTATAAATAAAAATTAGACTAAGATTTAATAATTATTACTATATTTCTTGAGATATCTTAAATCTATTATAAGATTTAATAGCTGTAAAAATAAGACTAAGATAATTATTTATTATACCTGAGCTATTCTGAAGATATATAATTATATTAAAAAAGATATTTTTTTTCTGGTTATCCAGCTAGCTTATTTTCTGATTATAATTAGTTTATCCTAGCTAAAGCTCTATAATTTTTGTATAAACTTTATTAATTATATCTTTTAATTTACCAGTCCCTATTACTAGAAGCTTTATAATATTCTAATCCAGTTAATTAAGATCTGTATTTTCTATAATATCCCAGTCTGTACCTGACTAGTAAATATATATCTATTTAAATTGCTAAGAAATAAGAATATCCAGCCTGTTTTCCTGAATATATATATTATATATATTTATTAAAATTATCCTGTCTACACAGTTATTATAATCTAGTTTAATATAGTACTTTATACCACCTTTAACCAGGAAAAGCTTGAACTACCTGAGAAATTCCAGGAATTTACTAATATATTTTTACTTTAAAAAATAAAGAAATTTTTATCCTACTATATCTACAACCATATTATTACTTTAAAGAAGAGAAAGACTCTGTTATTTAGATCTTTATATAAAATATTTCAAGAAGAACTGATAGCCCTCTATAAGTAATTAATTAAGAATTTATAAAAGAGATTTATTTATTCTAATTTTTTTCTAGTAGTCTCCCCAGTTCTGTTTATCAAGAAACTAGATAGAGACTTGAGATTCTATATAAATTACTATATTTTAAATACTATTTCAGTTAAGGACTGTTATCCGCTGCTGCTGGTTAAGAAGATTCTAAATAATTTAAAGAAAATACAGTACTTTACCAAGATTAATATTATCAGTGTTTTTAATAATATCTAGATTATTAAGAACCAGGAATATTTAATAATATTCTGTATAAGACTCAGTCTTTATAAATTATTAATTATATTATTTAGATTATCAGAAGTTTTTGTTATCTTCTAATACTATATTAATAATACCTTGTAAGACTATCTAGATATATTTTATATAATTTATCTAGATAATATCCTTATCTACAGCTGAACTAAAAGTAAATATTTAAATTATATCAGAAAAATTCTCTAGAAGCTCTATACAACCAGCCTGTTTACTAAATTATCTAAATATAAGTTTATTATCTCTAAAATCAAGTTTCTGGGCCTTATTATAGGCTGTAATAAATTTTATATAAATTCTGAAAAGATTAAGACTATTACTAACTAGTTTATCTTAATTTATGTTACTGATGTACAAGCCTTTCTAGATTTTAGTAATTTCTACTATTATTTTATTTAAGATTTCTCTAAATTAACCGCCCTGCTTATATATCTTACTAAGAAGTATATCTTTTTTTAATAAGATATAATCTGCCAGAATACTTTTAATTATTTATAGAAGATTTTTACAGATACTTCTGTGCTCCAGTTCTTTGATTAAATTTATAAAATAATATTTAAAACTGATATCTTTAATTATATCTTTACTGGAGTCTTATTCCAATATAATAATAATAATTTATTATACTTTATTATCTTCTTCTCTAAGAAACACATCCTGATAAAGTATAATTATAAGATTTATAATAAAGAACTTTTTGTGATTATCTACTATTTTAAAAAATAATATCTAGAGTTTAAAGAAATCTTGTTCCTGATCCAGGTTATTACAGATTATTATAATCTAGAATATTTTATATTTATTAAGCTTCTGAACTATTACCAGGCTTAATAATCAGAATTCTTATCCTGTTTTAATTTTTATATTATTTATTATCTTAAATATTATAGAATTAAGCTTAACAGCTTAACCAGGAAGATAGAAGACTTTTCTAAAGAAAAGAATAAATAATTATTATATTAAAGCTAGACTATACTTAAATAAGAGAATTTAAATCTTATTTATTTTATAAAGAAAGACTCTGATCTATTATTTATATATTAAAATCCTATAAAAGATTTTTACAGATCTCTTCTAGACTCTATTTATTTTACTAGTAATAAATCTAAATAATTACAGGAATTTAATTTATTAATTATTTAAGAAAGTCCTGCAGAAGACTTTTATAGACTTATCTTAATTTTAGTAATTTAATAACTAACCTAGATTATTTTTAAAGATAAATAAGACTTATAATTATTTTCTAAAATCTAGACTACCCTGCGAGATATATACAAGAAGAATAAATAGATATTAGATATTTTAAAAATACTAATAACAGGCAGGAATTAATATCCAGGTATTTTCTTAGCTTTTTGTAAAAAGGGAAAGAGCCTGCTATACTATAAGAATTATTTATAAATTCTTAATTACGCTGATCTAAAAGCTGATCTGATTTATTTAATTTATAATAAGTCCTTCTCAGGATACCCCGGAAAATCTTATATTTATAAACTCTTAGCCTGAGAATATTATTAGCCAAACCAGTACTGTTATATAAAGCAGTAAATAAGAAATTATTATATTTATTAAAAAATAATCTTCTTATAAAAAGTTAAGCAGGATATCTTAAAATTCTTACTAATTCCAGAGTATATTTAGTAAGATATATCTATAAATTTTATTATTTACTTACTAGAGAGTGGGGGCTATGATATAGTATTAATAATTATTAATTATCTAATTAAAATAAAGTATCTAATTTCCTGTAGTACTATGGCTAATACTACTGCTATAATTCTTATATATATTCAGTATATATAAAAATTATATAAATTATTCTGTTTTATTATCTCTGACAGAAATCTCCAGTTTATTATTAATTTCTGAAGATATTTAATCTAATATTTAGATATCAGGAGCAAGCTATTAATAGTTTATTATTTAAAAACTGATAGATAAACAGAGTAGATAAATACTATACTTAAATAATATCTTTATATTTATATAAATTATCTATAAGATAACTAGTCCAGCTGGTTATTCCTAGCTGAATTTATTCTAAATATTATTTATTTTAATATAATTAAAATTATTTTATTTTTTATTAACTACAGCTTCCACCTCTGTATAGAGTTTAAATTTATATTTATATTAAACTAACCTGCTGCTAGAGATATAGAGTAATTTATTATTAGAATATAAATAATTATCAAGTTTATATGAGCTGAGATGACTGCAGCTTAAGCTAGGTATATAGAGTAAATAAATAAAAGATATTATTTTAATCTGAGATTCTAGAAGAGCCAGGAGATCTAACTAGATATTTAATTTATTAAAACTTTATAATCTAATAAAAAATTTAATTAAAATATCTTAAGTCTGTACCTGATTAAGCAGGTTATCAGCTTATATATTTACTATCTAATATTTCTATCCAGTATAAAGATTTATCTAGTATTTTATATAAGCCTGCTTATTCCTGTTAATAATAATTTATTATTAGATTAGTACTAGTCTCCTCCTTCCTATATTGAAGTCGATGGTCTTGAAGAATAGAAAGTTAAGGATATATTAGATTTCTTCTAGAACTGTTATAGGCGAGGCCGACTCTGGCTAGTTTATTTTATTAAATAGAAAGAATATACTGATTTTACTGCAGAACCTGCTGAATATCTAGAAAATACTTATTAGATTATTAAGAATTTTTATTATTGCTATCCAGATAAGCCTGGATCTTTTTCTTGCAGGAGCTCAGCTTAAGAAAGAAGAGAATATACTGTTACAGTGCTAGCTGTGGAATACTGTCCGGACTGACTGTCTGGGTATATAATCTGAAGAGATATAAAACTTGTTAGTCTCCCAGATCCTGTTCATAGCTTTGAGCTATGTCTTGTCTATTTCTCTGTATATAGCCTGATTGTAGTTAGCCAGCCAGTCTCCCGCCTGTTCCTGTTTCCTGTTCAAGCTACCTTCCTACCACCCCTGCCAGCCCGCACCTTGACATTATACAGAGTAAGTACTTTGAAAATAAATTATAAAAAAATATATTATATTTAGATTATATAGGTTAATTAGTTCTTAAGTTTTTTTATATTTTATTAGTTAAGACTGTGAAATATATATAATATATTGAAAATAACATTAATTTATTAACAGTAGTAATTATATTAATAAAGCTTTGAAATAATATTTTTAATATTAATTTTAACAAGATGATTTGTATGCTTGTTACTAAGAATCTCTTTATAACCAAAAAATTATTATAGAGAGAAGATCTTAAGATATTAAAATTTATTAATATATATAAGGATACTTTATGAAATATATTAATTTGATTGAATTTAATCAAAGAGATTAGTACAAGCCTGAATACAAATCTAGTTAACAAGAAGAACAATTATATTATATATCTTTAGAAATATAAAGATTAGTAAAATAAAGAGATTATAATTAAAATTATTAATAATATAATTTATTAGATACAGTTATTTAACAGGAGATAGAATTATATTTATACTAATCAATTTCTTAATATATATTATATGTATCATATTATAGCCTACAGGGTGGCTGATTATATAGAATTTTATAATTATTATTATCTGTATAGACTTATACAGAAATCTTAAATTATTAATATTGTTTAATATTTTCTCTTAAATTTATAACCTTTATTTATGATAGACTTCACCAAGGGGAGATTATTATAAAATTAATAATTTTAAAATTAGATAAATCAACTAAATATCTATTTAAAAACTAAATAAAACTTATTAAATAGGTTTATAATAAAGAAAAGATCAGATTTTATATTAGATTTTTCCTATAATTAATTATAAATTATATATATTACAGAGTATTTAATAAATTAGTTATATTAGAACTAAGAAGTTAAAATTATAATCTATATATATCAAAGATTAAAGATGTGATGGCTGTGAGAACTAATTAAATAATTATATTTAATGTATCTAAACTAGAATATCAAATACAAGAGAAGAAAGGAAAGGAATATAAAAAAATATATATAAATAATAAAAATAAGCAAGCAAGATAAAATAAATAAAATAAATAAATAAGATCACATTTAATCAGTAAAGTAAGTAAACATTATATTATATACTATATTATATGTCATAATTATATTACTTACTATTATATTATCTTTTTTTTAAAGCTGGCTGTCTTTAGCTAAGAATACATTATTATTCTTATAATCTAGTATAAACTTATCAGCCTCAGCAGCAGCTAATTACTGTAATAATTATTTAGAAGATCCGGAATAGATAAAATATTCTTAAAATTTTTAGTTAAATATTATATATAATTTATTTCATCTGAAGTAAGCCATTCAATCCTATACTATAGATATTTATAATATAAATAACTAGTAATTATCTTTTTAATTTTTTATTTTATTTAATTATCAATTTTCATAGGAACAGCAATATTCTAAATTTAATTCAATAAAATTTTTAATAAATTTTATACATATAATTTTTTAAAATAAAAAGTTAAATATATATATACATCCTCCGGAAAACAGATTTTATATATATTATTTATTTTATTAATAATCAGAACAGGCTTGTATTAATTATTTAAAAACTTTTATAAAGTTTGTTTATTTATGTATTTATTTTATTTCTTACTCTGTTTCAATGCCTTTCAGGCCACGCTAAAGATCCTAGCTAGATTATATAATCTCACCTGATTTTTTCAGATATAGTAATAGCTATCTTGACTCCTTCTATATAAATAAGTTATATAAATAATAATAGTATATAGCTGCTTCAGGATCTCTTCTTTATCTAATATATATATTTATAAGGCTGTAAATATCTTACTAATCTTATTATTTCTTTTATACATTTCTTATAGCCGCTTATCTAGTATTTTACTTAAAATTATCTTGCTGATTCAGTGCCATGCTATTAATTAATTAATTAATAATTATTATCTTATATCATGTTCCGCGCGCCCTCGTGTTTAAATCCTATATTAAATCCTATGTTAAATATCTTTATTAATCTTTTATTTATTTATTAGTCTCTTACTACCTACCATATTATTCTTATAGTATTTATTATATTCAGTATTATTCATATGTCTGAATATTCTTTTGAATAATTATTTATTTATCTTACCTGCTATTTTATTTATTATTTTATTTATTATTCTACTGCCGCTACACCTGTTATTATTTATATAACTTAATTATTTAGATTCTTTATTTCTAATTTCTTTTCTTTAATAATTTCTACTAGAATAGTAGAAGCTTGTACTATCTAGATATAAAAAACAGACTTTAAAGAATAAGTTCTAATATTTATATTAAATTTTTAAATTTTATATGAGTAAATATAAAATAAAGATATTTATATCTACTAAAGTTATCAAGAACCAGATTTTACTAAAAGTCTAATTTAAAAATAGATATTTTATTTATAAGTTTTAAATTAATAAATATTTCTATAAAAAACATAAGGCTGTTAAAATATATCAGTTTATTTATATAAAATATAAGACAGATTATTTATTATATATATCTTAGTAATAAGGTATCTGTAAGATTAAGAAATATAATTAAATTTTATATAATAATTTTTATATTTATATTATATTTCTAAATCTTCTTTTAAAATATGTCGTATTTCTTATATATAATTAATATATAAAATATTATTTTTAGATTTTTATATAGATAACAGTCTGTATCAGCCTTCTTAATATTATATAAATATATATTAAAGCTAATCTTTTTCATATAAAACTGTATAATAATACTTTATTTAATTAAAAAAAGAATATTATACAAAGTTATACTAAAAAAATAGACTTCAGTAAAAATCTCTATAAATAATATTTATATAAAAATATCTTTTATTTTATTTATTTTATTTTTTATAATTATTTTAATCTATATATTTAGTAAGGTATGAGCAGGAGTAAAAGATTTTTATTAAAATAATAAGATTAACCAGAAGATCTGCTGAGAAACCTGTTAAAAAATTGATTAAAATTTTTTTAGTCCTATCTCTCACCAGCCAGTGGCTTTTTTAATCTTGATATTAGTAAGTTTATTTTTTATAATTTCTAAATAAGCAGCAATGCAAATATAATAAATATTAAAAATTTATATTAATTTATTATATAATTTAAATATTTTCAGTAGCAGGTATTAGCCAGATGTTTAAGTGGATATCTAAAATATCTTTAATATCTTTTAATTATCAGAATAAATCTTGATCCGGGACCGGTTAGTAAAAGTATATATTAAATATTAATTTTTTCTAGAAAAAGTAAGATCTTATGTAATTAAATAAAAAATAATAATAAGCTGGTTATCTTTATAATTAATATATTTTATTTTATTTAAATATTAAAATAAATTTACCAGATTTGCAGGAGATCTAAATATGTAATAATTATATTTATATAATGATTAATACCAGAATTATTTATATAGTACTTCTAGAGCAAATAACTATTCTTATATAATATATTTAAAATAAATTATTTTTTAATTTTTATAATAATTATTTACAGGAATTATTACCACGGGATGATTAGTTATAAAATATATATTTTGAAATTTTATATATTAATATCTATAATAAAAAAAATTTTTTTCTACTAACTCAAGCAGGCTGTATAATAAGAAATTAAAATAAAAATAATAATATTTAAAAATATTCTTATGTACAGACGTGCTTATGATCTGATTTAATATTTAGATTTTTTATATTTATAATTATTTTAATTTTAATAATAAATATAATTTTATATTATTATATAATTTTATTAATTAGATAGAAGTT